GAGATATTTTAGAACGTCATTTGTATTGAAACCGAGGAAGCAACTCTTATTAACACTTGTGACACCAGAAACCTTGGCATTTGTGGGATAATGTATGAATGCCTTGTTTACCGTACACACAACAAATGAATACGGAATACTGGAGGTAATTAGGTGCATAAAGGCCTAAGTTATTTAATGTATAGAAGCAGACACGAAATCTTACGAAGGGCTAAAGTAACAGTCTCATAATACTATAGTAAATCTCCATCCCACTAACTAAGCTTAACGTGCATTAATCCGATTTCACTTATTACAAAAGCACATAGTATAGCGATGCACTGAAAAAGTCTAGATGAAGTAGAATTGAAGAGTATATTAAACATTTCAATAATTTACAAAAGAAAATCCCGATGAAGAGTATTAACGTTAGTTTGTCCGGATGATATTTCCGCTGGTTTCATATTCGACAACTTCCGTATACCTGAAAAAAATAAAGCACATGTAAGGACTAGGACAACATGAAGTTATGAAAGATAATTCTACATATTAGCACATACTGATTCTGTTAATACTAAGTAATATCTCATGCAAATAAATGTATATGTAGTTTTCAGCTGGTTTTTATATTGGCACTATACGCATCAATAGACCTCAAATGTTTTCCAGTATTAAAGGATTACACGCAAATATCAAGACAATCTTTGAAGCTTCCATACTGTTGAGGCGTCATACTCTCATCAACCTTAGTTGCAGATCCACTTCACACTGAATACGTTTACATTAAATGAAGTATTGCAAATGTGTAACTTAGAAATTGATCCATAATTTCAGTAATGTCTAATGAGCATAGTTTTATGAATCCTACAGAAATTACATTCTCATATTTAGGAATCTATAGCCATCAAATATAAGCTGAACATGCTTCAACTCTAAACAGCTATGCATAGTGTTAGCAGCATAGAGCAACACTTAAAATATTGTAAGATACGCAGACCTGTTGTGTTGATGAGGATAACAATGACATATAATGCAACCTAAACTTTCACTCGTGATGCGGCATCTGTACCGCTTCATGTCAATGGAAAATTCAGGAAAAATTCATCACGACTATTGGTGATCAAAAACATTGCAGCATTAAGTTTACAATGCCAGTGAGAATGGCATAACAGACAGTAGATTGATAGTAATAGAGCTGACTAGATTCAGTTCTCATAATCGATACAATCCATGTGTATAATAATACTATACACTGAATTAATGCACTAAGTGGCACAGTAAGGAAATTTAAACGAGTGATTGCCTTCTCCACTGCACTGCACTTACAATAATCATGACAACCACCTACGTTTGCCAGCCAAGCAGTCAGCTTAGCAATGGCACAATATCAATAAAGTTGAGATTTTTATGCATTGAGTCCATATAACTCTTATTACGCTACACCAAACAGTGCAAATATACATGAAATACACTTAGAAAAAACCTCTTAACTTACGATAATTCCTGTCCAAACACACATACGGTGAGACAAATCCACATGATTACTCCTATTCCCACAGAAGGTTCTGTTGGCATTTACAGGTGATTTCGAGGTACTGATAGAATTCTTTTGTCAAAAAGGACTGTTCTTCACACGAAAATAGGCTGAATTAATATCCTGAGACGTGAAGTCTCCATTGAATGATACCATGACGAAAGGTGCAGCATCTGAATACAGAAGATTATTTGTGTAGATGAAATTACCCTTCAACTATCCTATTTTTCTCACTATAGCGATATTTTGCTACAGTTCGCCTGAAACACTGATCGTTGCAACCAATATGTTAGGGGGTGTCGCAGTCAGATTACATGACGCGGACACCAAATAACAGGCCAGAAAATGGGAATTCTCATCAATCCAGATAACATATAACGCAATTTCATTAAAAATTATTGACAAAAAAAAAATTTCCAAGGGAAATTTTAACAGCGCTACTAGAACATGGCATTTAACGTCTACCACCATGAAGAAGTTTACCGAAGACCAGGAACCTTTACCTTACAGCCAAGAAGCGAGCACAAAGAAATCTAGTTAGTTCACACTAGCCCGAAAAAACAACATTATACTGTACTAAAATCCAAAGCCATTCTAACAGAACAACTAAGGGATAGTCAGGTTTATACAGTCACATCTTAAACACATTGTATATTGAATTTTGCTAAGCAACAGCATGGCCTTCCTTTAAAATGCGCGCTACAGAATTTATCGAAGCCAAAATAAAGCAGAGAAGGGTTTTATTAATATCAAAACAAAGTTCGCCTTCATGCAAAAGCATAGAGGGTCTGTTGAGAACGTATAATCTGAACAACGAAATTAATGACAACTTTGAAATACTTTACATCGATTTACGCAAAGACTGTGGTGTCATTGAGACATATCTATGGCATAAATTAATTTATCGCAATAGGCAGGTGAATAATTTTGATTTCGGCTTTATATATCATAATTACGCCCTATTTGATGAAGTAAACTTTATGAGGAGTATATGTATATATATAAACCACAATTTATATGAGTCTCCATGACTGTAATTCAGTGGCTGCCTCTCCCGTGAACGCTAAAATCATATATACATTCATATATACATGAGCATATTCAACCAAAATAACGTATCCTTTCTGATGGACTTTTTCGGGCAATATTCAGATCCAGACTATCAGGATAGAAGGCGCTTGTTGCTTTCGTCAATCCTTGCGATATATATCTCTGCAGAGATCTTGTTTCCCTTTGCAAGCGTTCACCGGTGGGCTGTTACTACTGAGTCAGGTGAGGAGTTCCAATTGTTGTCCACTCTGTGAGGGAATCCAAATTCCACACGCATTTTATTCGACCTCTATTTGAGCACCTTCGTGTGGTGATCTCGTAAATGTATCCTAGAGGAAGAGAAACGATTTGAAAGGTCGATCCCTAAGTCACCTTTTAATACACAGTATGCCAAAATTAAGTCACCTCTCCTACAGTATGATAATGGGAAGAAATTTAAACGCTCCATCCTCTTATCATAAGGAAGGTGTGAGATATCACCAACTAATTTGGTTCCTACCCCCTGTACTCTTTCCAGGATATGTACCTCCTTTTTCAAGCATGGATTCACCACTTGTATCCGGCATTCTAGATAAGGTCTGGCATAGGTTGCATAGAGTATTTGGAACATACTCTCGTCTAATCGTTTGAAAGCCCTTCGAGGTGCCCATAGCATTCGGAAAGCATTAGCTGCAGCTCCATTAAAATTCGCCACTGTTTTTCAGTCATGGCTTACAATAATTCCAAAGTCCTTTTGTCCCTTAACATCTCACAGTTCTGTATCCTCTAGGGAGTACGACGTGTAAGACCTCTGACCTAGGTGTATTACCGCGCTTTTATTGAAATTAATTTCCAAACTCCAGAGGTTAGCCCATTCAGCTAATTTATCTAGGTTCTTTTGCAGTACCAACCTGTCATCGTTATTATTTACAGTTTTCCATATCTTAATATAGTAGGTAAATAATAAGGAAGATGAGATAAGAATTTTCGGCAGTTCATTTACGTATAATAGGAATAGCAGGGTTCCTGAGGTACTCCACTCAATACTGCTTTCCACCCTGACAGTACACCATTAACCCTTGCCTTCTATCCATCAGGTAGTCGCTAAACTACTAAAAAAGGCGTTGGTCTAATCCAAAAGTCTACTTCAAATAAGAGTGATAATAATAATAGAACTAAGCTGATACCGCTAGTAACCTTTTTCCTACCAAACAGCACTTTATATTATTACGACATAATCGGAACTAGTAAACATCAGGAATGACAAGATTACCAAAATATACAAGTCTTGTATAGCCAGGAAGGATAATCATTAGGAGGATTTCGACAAGCACCACTAATTAGCAGAATAAAATATAAGATTAAGCAATCGGTAGTAGACTTCCCTAACGTCTTCCTTCCTACTTGTCTGTCATGCTTAAGCAATAATGGGTTGTTTTCTAAGGACACTTTAACTAGTGCAATTTTTGAGACCTTCATACGAATAACTATCGGCATTTCTTATTTACGCCGGAGAAAAAGAGCCTTAAGTTTTCATATCTATTGCAGATATCTCATGCACCTCTGTTTCTTCTATAAGTATCAGGAACATAAATTTTGGAGGCCCTATCATTTTTAAAGTTCCCAAAGCAGTACAATAATTGAATCTACACTTTAAGGATGGTAAAGTGTTGTCAGCTTCAATGACAACTGTGTTCATAAGTTAAATTAGAAAACACGTAAACACAAGGATTTTTTGACAAGTAATCCGATCTGTCCTATGATTCTTATTATGAATAACGTTAACCGAAATGCTCTCATCCTTCAAGGGTTTATAGGCGGTTATGGCGAAGACAAGTTATGCAAAACTGACCTTTATTCCTCTATTTTATGAAGTACGGAATTTAACAAGTAACATTGATCCCACTCATGATCTGAAAATCGGTGACAAACAATTACTTTTTTCAGTAGAGAACCTGTGTGAAGTCCCACAAGGAAGTCGTCCATTTGTTTGCCAACAGTATTTGATCTCGAAATAACACCAGGATGGAAATGAAGCACCGTCCTACAATCTCTACTGGTTAGTCGTTATAGCATCTACATGTGTGAATCACGACAACATTCAGCGTTGTGGACGTCACAAAGTACATATTAGTCACCGACCCACTTTCAATTAGCATGCAACCTCTATCATGTTATTAAGCCTCCGGTTAGTTACATTTCGAGCTAACATATGAATAACTAATGCAGTTACCGCTTCACCCTTAATTCCCATGAGCTGATTACCGTAGCACAAGCTTTCCTTTCACCCATCGATGGCCTTAAGTCATGAAAATCCCTTCTTCTAATACCTATTATCTTAGTTGGGCTCGTGTATCTTATTATTTCATTACAGTGCTAAGAACGTACATGTGCACTTATTCAGATGAAAACCATTCTCGTTCACAAAAACAAGACAGTGAAATACAAGTATTTTTTGCTTCAACTTGTCACAATTCTATTCATTTAATTCATCCTTACATAAGAATTTCCGAAAATTGCAGTCATCACCTTTCAGAAACACATATTTCATTGGACTTCGCAGCACTTGCAAGTATTTAGATTGAATAAATGTTCAGAATAAGAAGGATTCAACAACCGTCGTTCACAATCAAAATAATAATAATACTGTATGATAAAATCTATTACTCAGTTTATAAATTGTATCCTACTTTTTCAGGTACCTCATTTGTTTTTGGATGGCAAACACATCGGAGGAGAAGCAGAAATAAAACGTTTACATGAAAGCGGCGAACTAAGAAGAATATTTAAGGAGGCCGGTTTATAAAAACTAAAGCCAAAAAGAGAAGATATTTGATGACTGTAGTGACAAAAAAGAAGCCAACAGTGCAACAAAAGAATGTGTTGTGTTCAGATCTTTTATACTATGAATAATCCTTTCAGTTACATAATAGCTACATTGTATTATTGGTGTATATATACATATATAAAGAAAATGTAAGTAAATTTATAGGGAAAAATTTTATTAGTTTACACTCTAAAATGTACAATCATCGTATTTTACAATTATCCCCTCCTCGGAGGAACACCACGTGCCGCCCCAGGTCTCCCTGTAACACTGCCTCTTGTAGAGGGCAAACTTGGGCGTCTAGTAGTTCTTGGCATAGAAGTGATGGGACCCCATTTCTTCCTTCGAGCTGGGCCAATAGTAGATGTATTATCCGGCACAGTGGTTTGAGAGGTGGATGGATCGAATGAATCCCAAACAATAGGTTGAATTTTAGGTCGATTTGTTCCGGAATCAGCAGTGTTTGTAGTTTCTAAAAAAATATAAGGAGATAATAATAGGAGCATCAGTCAGGAATGTCAGCAATATACAATTGTCAATAAACACTTCTATTCACTAACATTCGATTATGTTGCCTTTTCTCATGCGCATATACTGTAATATTTTTCAGAACTTGTCCACTGTTGTTTCGTGTGCTACTCAGTGTGAAAACTTGAACTGATGCACGAAGGCTCCAGTTTCGAGGTTGGCTTACTTGTCAAACATAAGATACACTAATTGGTCTCTATTAGATAATGTCAGAATGCATATAGTCATCGAATCCTAATTTATATGACAAGAATATTTGTGAAATAACAGGACAGCGGTTTGTTAGAATTATGTGTGTTTTATTCACCTTTGAAATGGCAGTAAAATTAAATTCTTTTGAAACATACTTTAAGATTGTATTCGATTTTGACAGTGAGTCGAACAAATAAGATGCGATCCCTTACAATTTAATAAGGTAATCCTACTTTGGAAGAAGTATGTTTTCTCTCCGACAAAACCAATTATTAGAAACAGAATAGAAAAAAACCAAACAAATTTGACATTTTACGTCTTATGGCCTAACGAGTTTCTGTGAAACTGTATGCTTTAAAAAAAATAACTAACACAAAGTGGGAACAACACCAGTGTGAAGGAAAACAAAATCTGCAACTATAACGAGCTGGAAACACTATGTCAGTGAAAATAAACTCCAGAAATAAAAATTGTTATCGTGTAATGACAATCCATAGAATATGCTAGCTTATAAGATGATAAACTCAACCCATTTTATATTGCAGAACATATCAAGCTAAAAATACCATCAATTTACAAACACTGAAAAAGACTGTATAGTGAAATTAATTAATCAACACAAAACAAAGTAACCAAGTGATTACCTATAAGTTAATGACCTCAAAAAAGAAAACAGAAAGGGAATAGCCGCTTCGGAAATTCGTTACCTTTGGAAGATGCCACCGTCGAAGTGTATGCGGAAGGCTTGAAAAGCAAGGGTGAAGTAGTTGAACTGGAAACTGTATTAACAGGTAAAAACGATTTGAAAAGTCCCGCACAACCACTCGATAGCTGTCCGGATTCTGTAGTCACAGCAGTAGAAGAAACTGTGAAAGATGAAGGTTTGAATCCTGAAAAAAGACCAGATGATCCTAACCCTGAGCTGGAACATCCAGGAAAACTAGAGCCACCAAAAATACTTGGAATAGAAGATCCTCCAAACAAACCCTTGGTTGATGTTGTCGACTGTATGTCTGAGTCCGATGAAGTCGACACCCCTTGAGAATTTGGAGCGCTAACTGATAAAGAGTGATCATTTTTTTCTGCATAATTTCCTTCATAATGTGACTGTCCATCATCTTCATTCAGTCCTTCGTTTTCCGCATCGTCAATTTCATGGACTTCAGCATTTTGCATGGATGACGTTTGCCTGTCTGCTTCTTCATCTTCATAATCCTCATCAACATTAGTATACTGCTCATCGTCAAGATCCTGTGGCCGAGAGTCATCAGAACCACCTGGAAAAAAGTTAAATATAGTAAAAAAAGGTATTTTATGGATTTTCTTATTAAGATCATGATAGTTAATTTGCTCTTAAGTACTCAATCTGATACAAATTATTAATTCATACAACTTGGAGAAGACATAAAGACAATTGTCAGATACATCAAATAATTTATCTGTTGCACAGGAAACAACAAAACTTTCGAGTGAGACAAACACCAACAAACTTCTTATTAATTCTTGACCGAAAAAGCAGGTTATATCAGAATTATGTTTCTTTGAGTACAGAAAAAACTGTGAAAAATGCAGGAGATTATGTCAGTAAAATTTTTCGGCAAAAAGTTACAGTGTACATGATATTTTTTATTTATTTATTATTTTATTTTTGATTACAGCTTGATGCCACACAGTATTTTCAGTACAAGTATGGAATTTTCAGCATGGATATCGGTAGCCCAAATTTTGCAGGCCGACCATAGATATCGGGTGTGCGTCGGCAGGGGATCGAACCCCGGACCATGTGCATGGTCGGCGAGAGTCCTAACCACTGTGCCACCGACGCACCATTCGATGAATAAATCAGTAGGGATGTTTAAGGCATTATGTGAATCCTATAATCCACTTTAAAGCATTCGATTAATGAAAACAGCACTCCAAAAAGGTTAGCATTAGCAACAAAATAAACTCACTGCTAAGTTCAATTACTTCTTCTTCTTCCTCATCATCTTCTGAGTATGAGTCAGCATCAGCTTCAACCTCTCTTTCATAGTCATTGGAACCTTCTTCCACATAACCTTCATGTTCAACTTCTACTTCTTCTTGTACAGGACTTTCGTTGTAAATTGTATCACTTGTACGCAAGTCTGGATTATCTACAGTGAAATTTGATGGTGCTGGGAGAGAATTGAATTCAATATTATTATTGTTGTCAACTTGTGAATCTTTAGAAGTATTTTCAACGTAATCATCAGCTGATGCAGATCCGTGTGCATCAGCGTCATCAAAAGCATCATTCTCCGAATAGCATTCATCTTCACCATCAGAAGACTCACACTCTTCTTCATGAGCAGGATTTGCTGGTATGTTCGAATCGTATTCTGTAGTTGGGACTGCTGACTCAACAGGTTCTATATTTTCAGATTCACCCTGTAAAATAAAAAAATTACGAAATGAAATGAAAAAAAGGACCAAGTATTGCATTAAAGTGCGAAAAGCCTACAGGAACAATTACCTATGACCAAATGACACAAACTAGGAAAAGTTTGGATACCATTTATGTATATTGCAGACGTATTTAAAATAATCACAGTGTTAAGAAAGTGGAAATAAGTTGTTTTTTTCCAAACGTTTTGCTGTATAAGCCACAGCTTCTGCAGCCGAATGTACTTCGATCTCCGGAATCTTCGCTGCAATAATACCTTAGTTCAGTAAAGAATTTCGTCATACAATAAAAATCTTTTCAATATAAATAACTAAAGAGTATTTCAAACTTGCTTCAGCATATTCTGTTGCTGGAATCCTAGCTTGATCACTTTCATTTTCCGCAGAGTCTCCAACAGTAACTTCGGCCTGATCTGTCTCTACATCGACTTCACTTAGTGATTGTACATTTTCCGAGATTTCACTTGTTCCAGGAGTTATGATGCCAGCTACCCCGGTAGCTACTGTGAGTGTGCCCCATGTAGAACCTGGAACAATCAGTAATACACAATTTTTAAGTTCAATTCAGGTTATGGAAATATACATATATATCACTTGGTAAAACAGAGCATAATCTTCACAACAGGTCTAAATTTCTACTGTTATCACCATGTTTTTAAGGAGACACGAAAATTAAAGTAGGTTGCATGGTATCGAAACAAATTACTTTTTAAATATATGCTACTACTATCTACACAGAAAGAATCAGTTAAGACGGTTTTTATATTTTTAGTTGTATACCTAAGAAGGGTAGTTTTATTATAAATGGAAGTCAATAGAATAGTTGTTTAGAAAATCCAGAAATTAAATGGTTACAGAGAAAGTTACATCGCTAATAGATTAGACTTTAAAGAAACTTGGAAACCGGTCGGTCGGTTTTCGACAAAGAACTTTGCACATATGTGCGGCAGTTCAAGTCGCCACACTCCATGTAGCACACAAAGGAAGAGAAGAAAGTAGGAGAAATGCATAATATAGACAGTAAACAGAGGTGTGAGACAAAGGAATAGTAATAACGAAGAACAAAACAGTTTAATTGGAAATCACTACGAAAAATAAAGGTAAACATGATATATTGTTCATAAATCATGATGTGCATTGAAAAAGCTTTAGACTCATTATCCTACTTGACATAAAAAACCCTTAGGTTCATTATTTAGTTCTATGGTACCATCGGATATGAGTGATCCTTAGGGTAAGACAGATGTTTACAAATTTATGTTAACCAGCACTTTTAAAATAAGGTTGAGTAGAGACAGCGGTAGTGCATCACTTAACGATATCATCTCCAGTTATCATCTCAGATACATATGCAACAAATCCTCACAAATTCAGGCCACATTCGTGAAGGAACTGAAAACTACTACTTTCATAGCGGAGACTATCCGCCATAAGTATTGGAACCTAACCCAAAGGATGGCATCCACAAATTATGAACTGTGTGACATTATCACCTCTTGAAACACTCATTAGCAACTTCTTTATGTTCTGAAGTTACTGTGTACATTAGTGGATGGATAATTATTATCGACAACATTGATGTTGTTATTAAAAAAAATATTATTTTTTTACTAATGGGTATTTTAAACAGTTATCAGCTTTCACCAAAGTGCGACACATAACCTGGTAGGTCATACCATAGAAATTTGCTGACCCCAAAAGCCCTTGAATACAGTATGAGTAGTTTCGGTGATTTTCGTGAATACTGATACAAACATAAACAGAGGGGATTCAACAGTGCACCCTATATATTCGATGTATCGATTAGGGCAGAAATATACCCTTAACTTTATTACTAATCTTAAACGTCAGTCTAGAATTTTTCGAAATCACGTAAAAGTGCGTACCATAGACGAAATTTCGGTACAGGAAAGACATGGATTAACTGTTTCAAGGTCGAATGACTACTGTTCAAATACAACAAAACCTTCAGTTTGCACTGCTTAGTGAAACATGCACATAGAGGCTGAATAGTATTTGTGACATATTAAAACAACAACAACAACAATCAATTATTAATTCAAGAAAAATGTGATAAAAACCATGTTCATATTGTTTAGTGCACATAACCAATAGCTTATCGAAGAGAACACTCAACCGTATCCATGTAGGCCATGAGACAAAAGTAAGCCCGAATTAGTAAAACACACAGGAAAGTTACACAACTTACTGCTTGGTTCATATTGTCCAGCAATTAAACGAGGAATAGCCATGTGTAGTGGAGCTGCAGAAGTAACATTTACGCCAAAAGGTGAACGTCCAAGAATGGATGGACTAAGTCCTGTTTGGGCGAAAGAAAATGATGAGCTGGGACTACTGACCATTGCTGGACGGATACGTTTAGGGTCAGAAGGAAGAGAGTTAACAGGTATCTGTTGTAGGTAAAATTGGTTACTACAAGATGCAGACAGGAATAAATTTTCGCTGCTTTTGGAAACTTCACTAGTTGAAACGATATTGTCATCAACTGATGGTATAACATTAGGTGTTGATTCTACAGTATTCTGTGAACCTTCCTCAAATCGACGCTTCCCTGTTATGCTAACTGTAGTTGAACGACATACTGCTGACGGTACACTAGATGAACATGGTAAAGATGTTGGATGAGAAGAAACTGGAATAAACATGCTGTTTTGAGGTTGGTTAAGCATATTACCCCGACGTAAGAACGTACTTCGCATAAGTGACGCAGCTAAAGAAAGAATCCCAATAAGATATTTAAAACAAGTTTCAGAATCACAGTATACAGTCGTGTTTTAATTATAACTGATAAATATTAAAACAAAATAAGACCACGATTACTGCTCACTCTTCAAAAGGAAATACAAATAAAGATTAACATGATTCCTTTGAAATGACATTCCTGAGAATCATTTGGTTTTTCCGTTAGTTAAGAACTTTGAAATCAATCATATTTTTGAGGTGATGCACATCAACTGAACAGATAAGACCACATGATCTTCGACAAACAAAATTCTATCCCTGTGAGATGAAATACGCATTAGCTATAATTGCTTTAGTACGGTAGCTGAAGATGTCTATCTGTAAAGTAAGGCTTAATAGAAATCTAGGGTAGTCTCATAATTCTGGCAAAAAGTCTACAATGACACAAGCATCAGAGGGTTAACTATAGGGACCAGTAAAAGTGTCCCTACACTTAGATCACAGTAATGTGGGTTTATGTGGACCAAAGCAGTACTTTGAGTTTCGTAGTTAAGTTCATATAACGGTTAAATACAATGCTTTGATGAGGATAGTTTCTTAATGGGTACTTCTGATTGGAAATTTTTGAAATCAGATCATACTAAGATTTTATGTATTTAATCATTAATATAATCGTATGATATTTCGCACATGTTCAAGTATGATATTAGTAGCTAATCATCAGGTTTTCTTCAGATATTGATGTTCATAGCACAGAATCTACTCATACATGAAATTTTTAGCTGATTTCATACCGTTTACTGTCTACTGAATTCAAATCTGATAATAAATGAGAGGCATTATCAACTAGGGATGTCACGTGGTCCGAGAAAAATAGCTATGACAACTGACCGTTTGTCAATGTATCACAACTATCCGGATAACCTCCAAGAATTCATGCTACTCAACAGATCGAGAATTTAATACAAAATATGACAAGAATATCATAGCACCACTCTGAATGAATGAGATTTTGAAATAAAATATAAACCAAAACAGAGTCACATAAGATAAGTTTACAGTTATGTTCACAGAAGATAAACTCATTACTTCACATTTTGCTAATTAATAAAGATAATGAACAGCTATACTTCAATGATCTAAATACTCATTCATCGTGAACACATATGTTACTCTCATCTAATTAACAAATTTTTGCAACCATGTACACGAGTGTGACATATTTCCTACATAACTGGCGTTCTTCAGGGAAAAGTTAAGAAAATTGAGCAAAACATTCAACCTTAGAAATCAACAATGCAGTACGACAAAATTGACTTTTATATTCTATGGATACAAAAAAGTTTTTATTTAAAAAAATGTTTTTATGAAAAGACCATACCAGTTTGATCTCCAGATGTAAATAACGATGAGCTAGAACTTGTTGCTGTATCTGAAACAGGTGAACAAATTGCGATGCCTGAAGGTCCACTACTTGTAGCACTTTCTGACTGAATACTTGACACCACCATAGGAACTGAAGAAGTAAATGGAACGAAATTTTATACAGCGTAGAAAGGAAATAAAAGTAATTTCAACTGCGATTTAAATAAGCCAATTTACCTGATGGAGGTGCTGGGGTTGGCATTACCGCAGCTACATTACTTGTAATTGGTCTTATTTCAGCAGTCTGCTTTAGTCCAAGTGAATTAGGTGGGGTAATAGTAGGCGTTGGTTGGACCGGTTGCACGGTGGCAGCGGCACGCATACTCCATGCAGGAATAGACTGAGGTGCAACAGAACTAGTGACTTCTATACTGCCTTCAGTGTTGCACAAAGCAGATGAAGTTTCAATATTTGACTGATTTCCGAGGGTTGTAGCAGACGGTGATGTACATATAGACAAAACTCGTGGGGCGAATGGATGCACTGTGTGAACACCATCTTGCGATTCCATTTCCTAACGTAAAATAAAATACAGAGCAAATTAAGACGTTTTTGTTAATGTAAAGTACAATTTGAATAACTTCAAAGGTTATATATATATATATATATTCCAAGTGGTAGGTATTTCATAAATTATTGAATGACGTAAGCAACGAAGTTGTACAGAAAACTAAAACAATACTAAGTATTTCACGCTTAAATCTAACAAAAAAGGATTATTTCTTTAAGCTTGAAGCTAATCTATTTAGAGACTTACAGCTGATGGTGCAGGAGATGGAGCTCCACTCGTTTGCAAACTCACGGATACAGTGTGAGGATGAACAGTAAGCGTCTGAAGCTCATTTAAACGAGTACGCAATTCTGCACAGTCTCTTTGAGATTTTGTAAGTTGAGATTCTATAAGCTGAGTTCGAAGAAGGCGTTCCTTTTGTGAATCTGATTGTTGTCGTAAACGATCGATTTCGTTGCAAAGGCCTGAAAGAAGACGACGAAATTCATTTAACATCCTTTGACCGTCTGAATTGCTAGAATCCACTTCACTGTCTGATACTTCAGAGTATGAATTCATGATCATTGCGACTGATTCTTTGGCCTAATAAAAAGTAAAAAATATGCAGTTCATTAGTGACATATATATATATATATAAATTTGAGTCAAACAGATTATAAAATGTTTATTATTCTTACTTTTATCTCGTCAAAAAGTTGCAAAGATTCCCTCACACTAGCTTCCAAAAGCTCGTGTTCAGTACGCAAAGAAGAATAATCAGCTCTCAAGGTAACCAAATCAGCTTTGGCCTCAGTAAGCGCTTCATTTGTACTTTGAAGTTGAGCTTCTACAATGATTATTAAAAGTAAAGTAATATTTCATCAATTGATATATATATATATATATATATATGAAGCGAAATGGGTAAATATTATAACATATTTTACGTCCTTTTAAAGAGGAGTGCAATAATCGAACATCCCGTCACCACTGGTCATTCCATCTGAACAAACGCTTCCTTCAAAGTAATCCACAAAGTGAAGAACAGCCTACGAAAGACAATACGTTTCCTTCTTCTTTGCATTGTAGAAGCCCTAGCTATTCAGTTAGAAGAACCAGAATCATGCATAATAAAAGAAAATTAATCAACCACTTCTACTATCAATGGTAACAGCTCTGTTGATTTGACTTAACTTTTGCTTGTTTTTCTAACTACTTAAAACTCTTGTATTCCTTTAAAACTCTTACTTAATTCCGTATTTTATTTTGTTTCTATGTTGACCCTGAGCACAACTCTTTCATCAAACTAACCGTGTTATTACGTAACTCCCCTTTAACAATCGTATGTGACAACTCATCACTTTTGTTACTACCCTCTTATATCAACATCCGATTCCTCTGGATACTTTTTGCATTACGCAAATCCACCAAAAACTTACCAATTGTATTTTCGTTTGACAAAGTTAATGTACACACATACACACACAAAATAACCACATATATATATGCGATTGTACAGCTGTGAAAATGAATTTGCCGAAAAGAGACTCTTCTCTGAACTAGTGATCTGAAAGTTGTCATATTTCCTCCCACGGGTCTAAAAGGTTACCATAAAGTCTAACCATGAGAAGGCATTGCAAACGACCTAAAATTTGCGACAGATAGTAAGTTGGAAATCAGTGGTAACGAATTTCTGACTTAGAGTGAAAGTTATGCGAAAACTAAGTATGAGAGACTCCAAAATCCTTCACAACAACGTGGTCAACATTTCATGTTAGGCTTGTCTGCTAATAAGATTTGTAAGCGTTTTTACAGTCATAACCAAAATAAAACCAATCACCTATATTGTCAAAACTCCAAATTTTGTCAGATTTTTCGAGTAGATACATAAACCGCTTAATACAAGAATATTATGTAGTTATAATTCTGTTATCATGAAGTAGATCGTGTTCAGTAAAAGTCAGTAGGTCTATGATCCTCTTAATGTTTCTAGGACCCAATCCAATTGCCCATGAATTCTAACTGCTGCCAATTCGCGATATATAGCTCCATCGCCAGCCAATGTCATAGGCGAGTAACTGGGCTCTTGAGTGACTTGGTGGATCCCGCTGGTCACGACTTCTCAGGAGGATATAGAAAGCTTTGATGTAAACTCTTGCATATTTTCATACCTCTTCGTAATTTCCCACTACAGCATTCAAAAATAAGAGATTTTCAAAGGGAATTAGCCCATAATTCTGTGAGTGAAGAAGTATTAGAAAAAGCGAACTGTTTTTACAATGGACGTAAGGAAACTGTGTTAGGCACAGTCATCCCCAGTTGTTTTATTGCCAAGTAAGCAGCTTAAAGTATGCAGTACCAGTTTACCCGGCTGCACTTCCTGTTCTTCCATTAGAGAAATAAATTTCGCAGCCAACAAATGCTTACGCAATGTCAAGTTGCCGTTCTATATCGCCTATACTGTCCAGGTATACTTAAGAAATCACTTAAAGAAGGGTATTCATAACGCAGTGAAAACAATCCAGTAAACGACTACAAATAGTAAGATTACTAACCATCAGATTTACTAGCATTAACTTGTCGGCGCAAAACTTCAGTTTCTTGACGATACTTTCGTCCAATTTCACGAAGTTTCATAATTGTTGTTTCTTTTGCGCCTAAATCTTCTTTTAACAAGTTTTCTTGAACACTATACAAAAGATTAAGAGAGAATCCAAACAATTAAAAAGCCTACAGTGTAATAAACAATTTAAAAAGAATGAAGCTGATTTAAAGATGGTAATTACAGACTTCAGTTATTACTTTGTGCCATATAATACAGATGAACATACAGTAGTCAAATTAGATGTCGATCACAGGCTAACTCTCTCTCTCTCTCTTTACCTCCTGATTTGTAACCAATTCTTTTAAAAGTACTATGCAATAAAGAAAGAATTGATTACCTTAGTGCAGAGATTTTCTGTTCAGCTTGATGATAAGAATTTCTCAATTCATCCAAGAGAGTATTCAGACTTCGTATTTTCTCATCTGATTCATTGCGTAGTTCAGATAGTTTGTTAGCATTACTCTGAACTTCTTCTTCAGCTCGATTTAGTTTCCGCTGTAATTCATCACGTTCGTTGCTATAGTAACAAAGGTAAATATAAAGTCATTTATATTCAGCAACCCCAAAAAAAGAGAAATTCACTGAATACATAAATTAAATGAAATAGATATATGCATGAATGCATCCTACTGTGGACAGACAAAACGTATCTCACAAACAGTCAGAAATTGTAATTAATGCAACAATATGACATGACCTATTTCAGTGTATTGGCCGATAGATATGACAATCTATTTCAAAAATACAAACTGGAATATCAAAATCCCTGATCTGCTGACTAAACATGAATAATTCGATTATATGAAGGAAGTATACAATTGACCGTATGGAAGGTCACCTCAAAAGTTATAATTTGAAGCATCCTGAGTAAATGCAAAACTTCTTTTTTTTTATTCATTATACCTACGAGAGCAACACAAAAGTAGACCTCTTTCAACTTCAGAAACCAATCAATAAAAAGGATTATTCAAGTATTGGTTTGTAGGGATTTGGTTGATTGGTTACAGGATTTCATCATGAGCTGACATTGGTTAGAGAAACATTGGAAAACCAGCTGGGAGTACTGGATAGCTGTTTCGTCCTAGTTTGGGACTCTTCATCAGTATGCACCCACCGGGGTTCGAACCCAGGACCTTCTGGTTACAAGGCTAGAGAGCTCGTAGACCATTAAGCCACTAGGACCCGATCCAACGGCCAGTCCATGAATTGTAACTTCTGCCAATTCACGACATAGCGCAACCTCTAGCCAATGTCTTCGGCGAGTATTTGTCCTCACACCCGACCTGCTGCACCCTACTGGTCACGACCTCCCACTGGAACCCCAGGTAACTACCTACCTGAATAGGGCCAGTCGCCAGTGAGCATTTCATTGATATTCAAGTATTGGTTTGTAGGGATTTAGTTGATTAGTTACAGGATTTCATCATGAGGATTATTTTTGTGAAAACGTAAATTGCTCCAGAAAAAACAACATTCACCACTTAAAAATAATAAATTATTGTCACGAAATTTGTTTCACCAAAGAATAACGAGATTAAACAAACCATGCAAGTTTATACTGCTCCGGATCCATACGTTGAGCAGTTTCAACCAATCGGCTACAACGTTCCTTCCAGCGATCGCGTTCTTCCTCTAGTGATCTTTTATCGGAGATTAAAATATCTTTCTGTGCGATTAAATCACTGTTTGACTGTTTCAAAGGATCAATTTCCTTATTTAACTTAGCGAGCTGCAGTGGGAAAACAAAATAATTAAATGAAATATATTTAGAGCATTCAGAAGTGGTAAAACTATTGTCTTTAAATATATTGCCTCACTGCCAAGAGATGTATGTCAACGGCAACGTAATGTAGCAACGCTATATAAGAATTCCAATTCCTTGCGCCGTTGCCAACAGTTATATTGCACGAATGTTTCTTAAGAGATATGATTATACCTGGATTAAACATTGACTGTCAGCTAGTGAGTCCCGAATTCTCATCCTCCCTCAAGATATCGAGCTTCCGCAACCAGGTGGTGTCATAAGCCATAAGTGTAGTTCACAGTTTAAAAGACTATTGGTGAGAAGGGATAAACAACGTTTCATCCTGTGTCTCAAAACAGCCAAACAAATATAAAACGCACTAACTCACTAAATAAATTTAGGACAATGAACATCGGACCTCAATTATTTTAATATTCTCAATCAAAACCAACCTGATCTTCTGCCTCAGACAATTTTGAACGTAAAATTTCTCTTTCATGTCTAAGCAATCGGTTGGACTCAGTAACTAAATTAAGTTGTTCAACACGTTCCATAACTTCAGAGTGTTTGCGGGAGGTCTCCAGAGCCAATTCTGCTGCCTTTCGTTCGTTATTCAATTGAGTTTGCAGCTGTTCTTTTTGTGACTCCAAACTAGAAACTCTCAGTAATAATCGGGAGACTTCGGCACTGGCAGCTTCATGGGCAGCATTTATTATATTTTTCTGACGCCTGAGGTAGCTAAAAAGAAGGAGAATGCGATTCACTTCATTAAGGTTAGAATGAAAACTACACAAAATACAGAATTCATAGTGTGTATTATAATTCATTTCAATTCAATTCACTGATAAGCAAAACACCTACCCAATAACTTGCAATAACTCCTCTGACGTTTGTAAATCTGAATTAACTGCATCGCTATCTTTAGTGGAACTTGTTTCCCCTTCGGCTGCAGTGTTCGATTTATCTAAGGTTTTTCTCAATGAGACTGTTTGCTGAGTGATCTGAAGTGGAAAATTAGAAAAATACAGCATTAAACGACCTCGTTTTTCTATTGAATATAAAGAATGTTTCCTTATGCACAGTAATTTAATATTATGAATCAGTTTCTGTAAAGATTCATAATTACAAGAATAATTGGTTTTGATCATAAAGTGTATTGTAAAATGTTCGAAATCTGAGTACACTACACTGATCTGCTAGAAGTTGAGGTATGTGGGTGGTCTTAAAAAGTTGGTCACCAATGTCTATAGAACACCATCATCAATAAAACTAGCCGATGTTTTGATACAACTGGGGCCAAACGTTGAATAAGCTTGTAGCTAGGTTAACATCATACATATCCAATTCGAATCGACATTATTGTTTTATAAAGTGAAACTGGAATGTCTGACCCGACAAAGCAGGTACACTCTAATGATAAACTATTACTGTGATTATGTTACATCATTCTAATCTTATGACTCCTCGTTACACTTGCATGATAAAACCTATCTACGTTACTTCTGTGGAAAAAAGTGGTAAATGGTTCGATAGTGTAACAATGGAGTACACACTGCATATGTAGTCGTGTAAACAGTAACTGCTACTTAGATTCTCTGGCAACAAACTAACCAAGAACCGATGGCTCAACAAATATGCAAGAGAAAATGGAGATGGACAGGGCATACACTGAGGAGACCGTCAAATGACATCCCACGCCAAGCCATCACTCAGGTGGAATCCAAATGGGAAGCGACGAGTGGGTCGTCCGAGGATGAAATGGAGGAGATGAGAGATTATGGGCAATCGTGGACCCAGTTGAAGCGGACAGCAGGGAATAGAACAAAGTAGAGATGTGTTGTTGAAGCCCTATGTTTCACTTGAAAACCGAGAGAGTAATAATATAATGTAATATAATAATATATACACTACTTCTTGACAATGAAATGACTTACACACATTGTAGCAAATACATTCCATAAACAAAAGAAATGAGATTTCCTCTTGAAGTCTTTATGAACGACGACTTAGGAATCTTATTCCCAGTTCAAAAACTAATTAGCTTTAAAAGGTTCATATGACAAAACACCGATTTTGGGCTAGCTCTAAGCATTTGTTTGCTTACAGTAACATGTACCGCAGCACCAATTCAGTATAAAATGCGGCAGCGTTTCGTCAACCACTTCATCCAGTAAGTCTGTTTTTAAGAACGGTTTGTCGAAAAATAATTTGTCACCTCTGAGTACCCCTTTAATTCATATCTTGTTTGTACTAATTTGAAGGACTTCTCTGATGTAACCTAAACCGATGCCATATATATATATATAATATATATACGTGAGAGTGCAAGACACATAGGACTGAAGATTTTTCGACCAAAAATGCAACTAAGAATTGAGCACCAACTAACATCATTAAAGGTTCCCCCTTTGAGTCACAACTACTGCGAAAAGTGTTAAGTTCAAAATGAAAATAACACTTCCGAGCGAGTGATTTTTACAGAGAAAATTTTCCAAATGAACTATGCTAAAGAGAAATATGAAAAGGTTAGGTAATAAATCTGATATTTGATATGCACTACGTTATTAAATAAGCGTTGATGGCTCAGTGGTAGAAAACTGGCCAACCACGAAAATGGTCCGGGGTTCGATCCCTGGCCGACGCATACCTTTAATTCGCTTAGCCGGTAATAATCGCGGTAAAGAGGGAAGGTTGAGCGCGAGGGTAGCAACCGTCAACCCGTTAAACATAAACACCGCTGCTATTGAAACTTCGAAGCTCTAGTTTAAAGCCCTATGTTCCACTGGAAACGAAAAGGAATAGACAAAAAAACGTTATTCAATATATGTTGACTTTCACAACTAACTAATAACCAACCTGGATAAGTTGATCTTGTAATAAATTCTGTTCTTCTTGACTTTGTTTCAACTGTTGGTTTAATTCTTGTTTCTCTTTCTCCCATAATTCCATTTGACTTTTTAATTCAACCACTGCAGTTTCTGCTGTTGATTTAATCTCATTTAATTCTCGTTGTAATTCATTGGCATGCATTTTAACCGAGTCTAATTGTGCACGTGCTGCTGTCAATAGCTAAATGAAAAGTAATCATCATTGTATAAACGATCGCAATGTCTAAAAGCATAGAATCTAATGAAACTTAATGAACAACAAAATGAATGAAACATTTATTAAGCGCAGTTCGTCACACCACCAGGAATTTTCGGCTCGTATTACAGACTTTTTCGACTGGTTGACTTTAGATCACAAAATGATACAACTGGATTTAACACATCTTTTTCGTAGCTTATTTCTACTGTCATACAAACTCGGATACAAGTGGACATTAATATTAATAACTAATATATACGGAGCTGCTTTTACAATGATTATTAGCACTACTAGCCTTATTAACAATTAGCTAACCTAAAATGAAACCGAGTGTGAGAATTCAAGTGAGTAAGACAGACTTTATACATACAGTTAAAGCAAAAGTTAGGTATATTAAGATGAATGAGTCTTGCAACGATAATCGATAATAAAATGAAAAGACGTGTTTACTTGAGAAGTTGGGGTTCAGCGGTAGAATGCTCGTCAACCACGCCTCACGTGGTCCCGGGTTCAAGTCGCGGCCGACACACGCCTGAAACTCATTTACCTGATAGTTAAGCATGTGAAAATAAAACCACTGCTACTGAAACTGCAAAGCTAAAGGCTTGAAGCCTCATGCCCCACTTGGGACGCAAAGATAATAATAATTATGAATTAATGACATAGGAATAGAATTTCGGTAATGCTGTAGAGCGTAATTCTATCATATAATAATTTTATTTGATTAAAACACATTAATGATACTGGGAGATTTCTGAAGTCCTAGGTGAGTACTTCACAAACGTATTTCCAAAGAAGGAAATTTTTGGATATTACTTATTATCCAAACTTGTTTACCGTATTTCATACTTATCTGAAGAACATTATGTGATGGATTACGGCCAGACGATTCAGATTATTGAATTTTTCGAATAAACTCGGAATAGATACTCTCAAAAACAGTAAAAGTGGAAGTCAAATACTTACATAAAATGCTTATGCAAACCTATGGCGTGTACTAGTGATAAGATTTATCAGTAGTATATAAAGAGACGTTCATCAGCACAAAAATATCAAACAGCGGAGAGATAAATTTGAAGTCAAAGAGAGCAAATGAACCAGCATTGTGGCACAACATGGGAGACAAGAAAAACAATACAAAGGGCAGAAGTAGCACAGAAGATCTGTGCGAATGACGGTTCGCAGATAAAGTGTACACAATTTCACCATATAGAGATACCGAATTCCAAATAAACATTCGTCTACCAATTCTCTTGTCTTCTACCGTTACAAACCCATTAAAAAGTCAACTTTTAAAGCAATCATACATTAGTGAATTAATGAATTTACTCCACAACTGTTAATCTAGTACACATTTGTATCTTGCCATACAAAACACTTTTGTTTCAGAAACAATAACCACAAGTTTTAATCCAGTATAATGTCAGCAGTTAAAAGATATAGAAACATTACCATTCCTTACCTCCACATCTTGTGCGTGTAGGGATAATTCACGTTCATATTTATCACGAGCTTCCTGAGCAGCTATCTGATGAGATTCTATTTCAGACTTTGCACCAGCTTCTACTTGTAAGGCGGATTCACAACGTGCTTTTAGACTCTCTAATTCATTTTGCAAAGTAGAAAGTTCGCGACGTAAATCTGCATTCTAAATTTAGAACAAAATGAAAACACATATACATTAACCAACACAATTGCCAAGTTAATATAACAGTAAATATACCGGTTGGGAATTAAAGTATAGACAAAGAATTAAGAAAAAACTGATGGGGCAACAAGATTTTCGTTTGAGTTAACCAACAAGGATGTATGAAATCGGAGTACAACTGAAAGCAAGAGAACTTTGAACTTAGATCTTTAGTCTACAGTTAGAAAGTGTGACTGACAAGTAGGTTTATCACTACTTTCTCTTCCACTATAACTATTAAATTATACAAATTAAGACATGAAGCTAATGATACTTTTTAGTGAAGACATGATGAAGAAAGGTGAGTTCGTGATACAGTTGGTCACAAGTGAAGATACGCGGAGAGAAAAGCACAAAACGTGCACCAAATGTACAGCTATGGTATATATGGAATATTACCCGAAATCTATGATTAAGCATATATGATGTCATTGATATAAGATTAAAACTTGTGCACTGTGGTAGAGTATAATTCCATTATGCGTAAGATTTGTTTTGACAAATTTTACCCATAATGGCATCATATGATGTCTTTCAATTTATAGGAATGTGGTTCTCTTGCTTATCGGCTCAGCTTTCAGCTAATAGTTTCCAGGTCCGAATCCCGCTCCACCTATTCCGTAACTAGGTCGTACCACTAACCCTTACGTAATAAGTGAGGCCTATAGACTAGTACAGGGAAAATCTCTTCCGGATAACTGCGTTCGAACTAACTGACTAACTTTTACTTTATAAAACACACCAGATACCAACAGAACCCATCTGCTTAAAAGAGTATCCTGCTTTTTTTAAATCGTTTCCATAAGTGTTTAAGTTTGCTTTACATTTTACGCATACCAAGAATTGTGAATAGCGATATATGTTTCTGTGCCTATAAGAAGCACAGGCATTTAATGCTTGCAAGATTCGCAGGAGTCTTTGACGACGCTGCCCCTCGGAGGTGAACCGTTCGATTCAGTTCACAAAAACAGTATCCAGGTTGTCGCGTGAATACCAGTGAAATGTGACGCATGAAATTTCTAGTCATATATACAAATTCCGGTCAAATACGGTTCCATCCATTTCAATAAGTAGATTCATACTGCCCTTTAATGCTGCTGCTGCTGGATTCAACATAGAACTTGGCACCGAAGTGCAGCAGTTCGAGTTGCCACGTTCCAAATAGCACACAAAGGTAGACAGGAAAATGAGAGAAGAGAATCAATAGAATTTAGATAAGTATAAGAGTGAAACAGAATGAGTAATGGTAGAAAGGAATATGAAGGTTAAAGAGACTGAATACATCTGCGCCATTGACAACGATTTTGAGCCATGTCACCTATTGTCTCCAGCCATTGATTCTTAGAGTCCCGAGGGCCCCAACCAGGAAGTCTGCATCTCCCTACCTGACTCAGTTTAACTGTCAGGGATTTCATGGATTGATGCCATGTTTTTGTTTGACCACCACTTACTCTTTTCCAACCTGCACCTATATCAGCTAGTAATGCCCGTCGGGGGAGACGATGGTTAGGCATGCGCAGCACGTGACCTAACCATCTCAATCTATGTAACTTCATAGCCTCTTCGAGTGATTTTCCCTCTTTGCCCAACACTCTACGCCTAACGTCAACATTACTTACCTTATTATACCACCTAACGCGAGAAAGAGATCGTAAACATCTGTGGTCAAAAACAGACAATCTCTTCATGTCTTCCGCTCTCAATGGCCACGTCTCACCGCCATAGAGAAGGACGGAGCGAACTGATGAGCAGTATACACGTCCCTTGGTTGACAGCCGGATGTCACGCCTACGCCAGAGACGGTGTAAGTTAGCGAAAGCAGCCCGAGCTTTCTGGATCCGTGCTGAGATTTTGTCACCAATCAATCCGTTGGTGCTGATACAACTTCCCAAATAGGTGAAGTGGTCAACATGTTCTATCACTTCACTTCCTATCACTAAGCTAGGAGTTGACGTAGTCCAGTCCTGTAGCAGCATCTTACATTTCACAGGGGCGAATCGCATGCCAAACATACGAAGATTGCTGCTCAAGGTGTTCAGAAGACTCTGCATTTTGTCAGCGTCCTCCCCTAACAGAACTATGTCGTCTGCGTATTCTAAGTCTATATGACTATTCCCTGGTAACAAGTCGATTCCTAAGTCTTTAAGTTCAGTTAAGGATACTTCCATTAGCATATCTATGATGAAGTTAAAGAGAAAAGGGGAAAGTGGACATGCTTGACGGACACCACTGGTTGTTATCAATTCAGATGACAATTCTCCATAAGCCCTTACACAGCTACGTGAGTTTGAGTAGAGTGCCTTGATTAGTGCAATGTACTTTCTTGGCACTCCCTTCATAGTCAAACATTGCCATAGAACCTCTCGATCCACGGAGTCCTGCCCTTCAATGGCTTGTTATGAATGCATTTCAACGACTATACACTGTCCATTAAACCTGGGTGTGATTGAAAAAGAGGAGACATAGTCTGGCTATATAGTGAAGCTGTGAAACTACAGGAGTTATTAGTCTAATAGAACGGATGAAAGACGTTTCAATACATATCAATGGATCAACATGTTTCCAGTTAGCATCAATTTGAAAGTAGCAAATGAGAACAAAATGCCACGAAAAATGCGACTGAATCTTTCAAATTTATACTTAGAAATACAGGCCTTTTAAAACTTACACTAAAATGGATTCATGTAAGTGGGTCTGCAGGGAAAATTAAGCTTAATTTACTGTTTACAAATCCTAAATTATTATGGTAAATCAGTTACAATTAAATCGCCATTTGGTTTTTTTTCTTTTGGTAGAGGTATAACTAATTCTGACAACTTAAGTTTATGTAAACCCTAAAATTATGATGTAGTATTACTAATAAATTCCAATTATGAAAGACTACACGAGGCTATCTGTTAAATCTCACTTTTCTTCAAAATAATTTACAAAAGAATGAAAAATTACCAATTTATGAGCCTCCTCTGTTGTGCGTATATTTTCATTCACCAGGTTTTGACGTTCTTTCTTTTCCAAATCTAGTTGTGCCTCCAAGAATTCACAACCTGAATTTGAATATGACAACAAGTAATTTGTATTTCATCAAAAACAAGATTACTGTAAAAGTGATCAAATGGTTCAAAGCACAACTAATGTTGTAAAATTTTCCTTCAATACACACAAGTTATGATAACGGTCAGAGAAAAAGCAACAAACTAGGGCATTATATTCCACGGAGACTTTCCAGGAGTATAAGAACTTTTTAGGCAGCAAACCTGTTTGTCATTCTCTAGCCACCGAATGTTTGGGACGCAAACGAAGGATAAGGTAGATAGTTTTGCCACATCTATGTACATTTATCAATTCAACTGCATCTGTGGTGACAGTTATGTTGGACGTACTACTACTATACTGCTTAGTCAACACGTTAATGAACATTTCCCATCGTGGTGTGGCAAAGAACAGGCAAAAACAATCCGTAGCTCAATTTTGTCACACTTAATTGATAGTGGTCATGTAATCGAGAAAACCAGAGCCTTCAAAGTAATTTATCGTATCCCACAGAATCTTTCCAATAGACTTCGTATTCGTTTATTGCACATAGCTGAGGCGATAGGCAAAAGAAGTTCGTGCAGCCATTATCACTCCCTTGACCAATTAAGACATGACCAACTGATGACTTCTACACCACCTCTAATTTATATTTTAACCCCTTTCTTATTATCCCTTAATCTTATCACATCTTCATTAAAAACGTGTTTCATTTACTTCCCTTACAATCTAGCATTACTTAATCGCAGCGTTTCTTTTTCTTAGCTGTTATCGACTACTTCCACCTGAACATTTGTTTGTTTAATCATGCTGTTTTTCTTCATTCTTGTTATCACAGATCGCCTCACTTCTTCATCCTTGTTATTGATAGAATCATTATTATTATGAGTAATCGCACAATTTATATGTACAATCTCATTATCCTATAGACAAAACACCGTGATTGGTTTATATTTGAATATTTATTTGTAAAGTTATGTATATTAGAGTTAAGCATGATGAGATCTAATTAAAAACAGTATTGTTCGCTTAAATGTGTTGTCCTGAATACAAGTGTCTTATACCTACTAAATCGCCAGCTGTTTTGTCAGTACTTATGGTCAAAAACTTTGTTCACACTACAACAGACAATTGACAATGTCAGTGGGGAATTGACAATTTACCTGACATATCTTCAAGGAGAATAGTTGAGTTTTAACTTAGTACAAGCACAAGCGTAACTGATTTAAGAACCTGATAGTTCTGAAATTATAGTTTTCATGAATAAATAATAATAAATAATAAGGAAGCATCTGACACAGAAAGTAACTTTTCACCATAAGCAGATTCAATATATAACTTAAGATTTAGAATGAAAATTATACCGGAATTATTAGCATTAGACAACTGAACTCACGCTGTTTGGTTTCAGTCATATCACGAGAGAAATGATCTTCCATTTGTTTGTTTTCCTCAACAATTTCATTAAGACGTTGCTCGGCTTGTTCAGCTAGTTCTTTCATGCGATCAGACTGTTGACGAGATGATTCTAAATTGGATTTAAGACTTTCAATTTCATGCTCCAATTCTCGTACGCGTGATTGAGCTTTCTTTGAACACTCAGCGATCGATTCAGACATCTCTGATTCTGTGGAATCACCTATTAAAGACACAACAGAACCATAGTCTGAGTGGTAAAAACTGCAAACGCTTAAAAAGATTCTGTAAAACCACTAACGTGTAATAACCATTCGGACTTAGTGAAAACTGATGAGAAACATGCACTGAAATAACTTACGACTGACTCATCAAAATAAAATCGACTATTTTTCACATTTGCATAAAATACAACAATTTAAGAACAATGAGGTTTCTTCCTCATGGCAATTGAGAGTAGAATGCACTTTATATATATATGAGATAGTGCGAATTCGCACCATATAGTATGAATTATTCTTTCGACTCTAACGTACCAATAGAAGACTGAGCAGACGCCAATTTTTCTTCCAAGTCCCGAATTCGAGAATTCAGTTGTTCAATTTCACGATTACTAGAGTTTACACTCTCACGAGAAAGTTCCAATTCATGCTGTAGAGTCTCCTGTGCAAGCTTGGCTGCTTTAGACGCGTCTACTATAGCTGAATTAGCTGCGGCGAGTTGTTTCTCCAGCTGCTCGATCTTACGTTCACTTGATGAGCGATCCATTGATTCTCTCTGTTCAAGACTTCCCTAGTAAAAAAAACCAACGTGAGAAGCTCAAATGAAGATAATTTACAATAAAATGACTCTTACGCTAATATTGCACTTGCAAAAATTTATTATTTACCTGAATAGCTTGAAGCTGATACATGAGCTGGGAATGAACTTGGTCATTGCGACGTAATGAATCAATTTCCTGTCTAAGTCGAGATTCGTTAGCTCTTACTGCCTCCAACTGCCTTGAGAAATGCCTTGCATCCACTTCCGCTGTTGTGAGACGATCAGATGTATGGGTTAGTTCGTCTCTGAGTCTCGATAATTCTGCTTCACTAGCCGCAGCTGAAGTTGAATAACGAGCATTCATTTCCCTAAGGATTGTGATCTCTTGTTTATATCCTGAAACATTAGCTTCTGATGCACGCAGTTTCTCATGCGTGAAATCAAGCTGAAAAGAAATCAATAAAAAGTGTAACGAAAATTACTGATGCACTTACTTTATCATCATAACACAATGCGACATAAACGACTAACGATTTTAGCAACTAAATTTCTGAGGTTTATTGATGAAAAGATTAAAAGATAAGACTGAAAGCAAGTTCCGAAAAATGGCTGAGGAATAATTCTACATAGAGAAACAGCTATCAGCACTCAATAAGGACGAAAATATCTAAGACTTTCCGTTTTTATGTCTTTATTCAACCAAATAAACTGTGTTTCACTATTCTAAACTTCTACAGGAAACTCATCAACAGTTAGATATAATTACTTCTTACACCAGCACTTAACCGTAGAATCTTGAGATGGTTCCGACAATTAGCGACCCAGGTGTATGGTTTTAACAATTTGAGCATACCAGTAACATCAAACAACCACAATAGTGTATGAAATAAATCTGAAAACTGCCGAAGGAAAGAATACATACACACATGGCCCTCCAATATCCTTTATAGATAAAGAATACACCCCTTGTATTTGCTCTATGGTTACGTGGAAGTACTGTGTGACTGAATACTACAAAGCAATCAAACATCTTATGAGAAAATGCCCAACCCAAATAAATTCAACCCTCAAAAAAGCACACTATGCATTATTTAGCTATGCAAACACGGGAGAAATTCTTAAAACAATTGGTTGGAGGATTTCATCATGAGCTGACATCAGTTAGAGAAACAATGTTTTTGAAAAAACCTGTTAACAATCACTTAACATACTGAGGATTAATCCAAGCAATTTGGCTGGTGTTTAACGGGCTGTCTGGTGTCTGTGAGTCGATTTTATTTACTACGTGGTGCAGAGCAATGCAAGAAACATAATCGTTCTAAGCTATAACGTTTACAAGGGTATCCGATTGAGTACGCACATTCAGACAGTCTAATATTTATTGTTTATAATTCCCATGCAGTACAATATAAAAGAAGAGCGTAACTACTACAAGAAAGATTGATTTTTTATGAAGACATAGTCATAGACTTTTAATCACCTTCATAGCCATCAAGGGAAATAGTTATTACAGATGTAGAACTCTTAACGCTCACTCTGTATAGAAAGTTAGCGCTGAAGATGACAAGAAAACAATGAAAGCGTCCTAATTAAACTACATAGTCTAGAAAACACAATCAAACCAAAAGTGGTCAGAAACAGTGTTACAAATATTAACTAACCTGTGAACTTAGCTTTTGATTTAGCAATCTGGCTTCATTATATTCTTTTCGTAAATTATCAATGGTTGTAGTATATACACTATCTGACTCCAACTTGTCTTCACGATAGCGTGTAAATTCTGCTTGCAATGAACTCAAGGTACTTTCTAGTCTCTCTATTACGGCAGCCGATGCATTATTAGAAGATGGACTTTTATCTGACAAGAAAAAAACAAATAATGCTGTGAGCACACGAAACAAATAATTGTTGTAAATAAGAATAAAATAAGCACACCGTAAGCTAGTTACCACAACCGATTTCAATAAAAGTGAAACTGAAAAATGTTTCATGGAAGCGATTATTCTTACCTGTAGCCTTGGCGTCAACCAAAGGTTGACTTAATTGATCAACATCATCGAACGATGACTCCTGACTTTGTGTGGAGCTGATTTCCTCTTTATCCCGTACATCAATGTCATACTTTTTCAGCAATGTACGATATTGATCACGCTGCTGTGCAAACATATTAGCTTCTGTTCGTGCTTCACGAGCAGCTAGTCGCACTACATCTAGTTCTCCAGATAACGTTTCGATGCGAGAAGATAACTCAGATATACGCTTATTTGTATTTAAATCTTCTTGTTCGTGTTTCTCCAACTGACTAGCCAAATCCCGGGCAACACAAAGAAGTCGTTGATTTTGAGACTGCAGTTCCTCTAAATTTCTCCATGTGACAAGATGCTCGTCAATAACAGTAGCGGCAGAGGCCATATTCTCAAGCATATTCGAAACACTACTAATATCCATTGAGCTATCAGGAACCTGTTGATGGTCAGATGATTCTGAAGTATGTCGTGTACCTGTGTTTGCATGTGAATTGTCTTCTTCACGTATCACAGTTCCTTTACACACTTCGACTTCATAGAGAAGAGATTTTACCTGGCAAGAAAACAAGAAATTATTATTCCTTCAGTGAAGCAATGTGAAATAAGTCAAACAATTTCAAATTTCGATCGGAAAGGTCTTGGAAATAGTGTGATCGGAGATTTTATTATCACACTGAGAGGTAAATAGTCCTCTAGCAGTTTGCAATCACTTGAAGGACTTCTAAAAGTCAAATGACTAACCAGTTCAGGGTGAAATACTTCATAATGCCTCAGCTGCAAAGTCATGATTACTGAGTCTTACTCTTCGATTAAACTTTCGCAACAACTATGCACTTATTAGAGCCCAACACCATTTAGATTCAATATGACGATGTCATTTAGAAGGTGCTGTTTAACTTTATCACTGAAGAGGGCCGATGGAAATACTCAACTCGTAATACTCTTGTTTATGTTAATCAATTCCTTTTATTATCAACCATAACTGATATACATTCAAAGTGTTAACTTTCGACTTCTGTCCATTATTGCTAAAAATGTACCGGTGAAGACTGTGAACTCTCTTACCACTTTCTAAGGGATAGATTTTCCTCCAAAGCATCCTATCATAAACTCACAAAAAGAAAACGACATACCTCTGATAAACATGAACCACTACAAAATTCAGATTCATCCTAACATTACGCCAGTGTTCAAGGTATTTTCGCCTATCGACATTTACGAATTTCACCTAAGTGTTTTCCATAGTCAGTTAAGCCGTGCTATAAACTGCAAATAACAGATCGCAAGTACGGTCCAATCTAAAGAATTGGCTGCATTAGACTACAAAATTCGTCTTAATAAGTGTGGTATACGAAGTGCATAGCGACAACGTACAACCATTAGACCAATATGATGTACAAACCCAATTTCCATTGGAAATACGTAAAGAAAAATGTTACTATCACATGGAATGCATGTATTGAAAGACTCATACACTCACCTGCTTAGATAGGTCTGAACATGTCTGTTTTAGTCTAGTTGTTTCTCTCTGGTAAAATCCAGCACGACGCTCACTTTCTCGCTTCTGTGACTGCACTTCCTCTAATTTTCTTGATGTACACTGGAAATTAGCAGTAAGTTCTTTCAGCTCAGCCTGTACCTTTCGATAATCTTCTTGTTGACTACGAAGAAGAGGAGCTATAATAGTGACATGCAAGTAAATGAAAAAAATCAGTAAAGTTGGGAACAACTTTGCAGATAAATAGTTCGCATACTCATTTACATATATGAAGATATAATGAAAGGGGAAATACGAATATGAAGCTAAGAACATAAACAAAAGCAATACTGTCATAAAAATAATTGTGATTAGCTAGTTAGGTGAATGTGAGAAAGCGATGGATTAGATACTACTGACAGTAAAAACTACACGGATCTGAGTTTAACCAATTTACAACATTATCCACTAAGCTACTAAACTATTAAAGTCTATTGTCTACCTGATACTTGTTCCTATATCTTTGTGCTTGTAATCGATTGTTTACTTTACCTAGTAAAATTTGTGGGTTCATCATGTACAATGCAAGTACTGGGATACAAACATATTCAACTACCACGTTCCCAAAAGTATGACATATGTGTTCTCAGATTCTAATACATATCAATGTACTTATCCAATATCTATTGAATGTGTATACGAAGACAGATAAAACCATGTAATATGCTCTAATCTAAATATATGATTTTATTTAGTTTGATTAACTCAAAGCATAGTCTAGATGCATTAAAGATACTACACTTTATAATATAGTGTAAAAGACTATAAACGAAATAAGAATATGAGAACAGAAAATGGACGCTATTTTAGTATGAAACTCAAAGTTAATTCATTAGCTATACATATTATACACATATATACGTCACAGTGAGAACATTTACGTGATAAGGTGTGACTGGGAACAGTAAGTTGTCTTCAAAACGTCAACCAGTAAACAATACTGTCTTACTATGTCACCTTTATTAAACAAAATTATATGGAACAAGAAAAAGGTGAAAATATGAAAACCAGTACAAGAGTAAGCTTTTAGTACGAATACGAAGACCATTCCAATACATCTTGCCTTAAAATTATCTACATCTTAAAATCAAGTATTTCACCGTGAATAAAGTATTCCCAATTAAGAATAACAGGGATCTTTACAACTCACATCAAATCTGTTATGTGCAGAAGTACGTCTAACCTGTTTCACTTTGATCATACTCTCCTTATCACTTCAATTCACTTTCTGATGTAGAACAATATCATTATTTTCACCTTCCTTTTTTACTTTGCTACTGAGAATTCATATTTTTCTACTGCAATTCCACTTTTTACAGATTTACAATCAGCTGGTTTATTAAGCAGTCCTTCCTCGAAATCCAAAGAGAATTTACTATTACATCTTACAAAAGATTTCTGATATTCACTGGCTTACACAAGTATAGAGCTGTAAAAACTATTCATCGAAAATTCTTCTTGCTAATTAAAGTGCCTACTTTTTTACTTGGAACACTTCATCCAGTGGGGATAGCTGAGTGTTTTATTCAGGTGATGCAGAATACTGGTTAAAGGTATGCATACAGGTTTCATATGCATATTACAGCTATAAAACTATTCATATTTTGGATAAAACTGAACTAGTTACAGTTATCTATCCTACACTACACTGTATTCTCAAGAAACAAGTTCCAGATATACATCCTTAAAGATAAAAGTAGTGATAGAGAAGTACGCTGACGTAGAGTTGAAAGTACTGATTTAGTTGTGAGTATCCCTAACATCTATCTAAGTACAAAATTGAGCAAAACAATAAGGTCTTGTGTCCACATGAGCTGATAACTAGGGACTCACTAATTTGAATCCTTGCTGAAATTCTCCTACAGTATTTACTAACAATTTCCCCACCTCAGGGGAGACAACTTCGCCTTTGGAAACTAGAGAATAGAAGAGATAAAACAAGATGTAACATACTGGGCGCAGAACAGGTATTTCAATTGGTTCCTTTGTGTAGTTGAGAAAATATCTGACAAAACAACTTCCGATCTTATTGCCGAGGCTGAAGCGTCACTAATACAAACAGAGGAAAAGTGGTATGGTAGGGGCAATATAGACTAGTGTTTTAATAAACTATGTAAAACCTCATGTTCAAACACATTCCATTTTTCAGCACAACCAGAAAATTATTTAGTGTGTAGGAAGCCTTAACAACCCGGTCTATCTTAAGTTATTAGTTATAAATAGTCTTCCATAAAATTTTTTGGTTAGTAGTTTAGGCAAACTTGCTACTAAACAGCCTACTACCAGAATATATTTATGTTAAGTGGCAGGGCTTATCCCCTTAAGAAAGTCCTCCAGTTTATCGCACCAGTTATTACTGCAAAATAAGAAATCGAACGGACAAGACGAAGTAAACACTTGTGTGAATATGCGAATGAGTTAGGCATGTCAATTGAGTTCTAGTTGAATCATTCCAACCCAAAAAATATCTGTCCTGGTATCTAACGACCTTATAAAACAAGTCTGCTAAAATAAATGACCGCTGTGTTTGATAATTTTTCACGGTTGCTCATGTGTTAAAAGTTTGCAGCTGGAAGCAACTAGATGAACTACAAATAAATATGGTCGTCAGAAGAAAAAAACACTTATGGCAGTTGAAAAGTACCATTTAGAAATTATAAGATGAACGTATTAACGAAAAACAAGGTACCTTTTTCTTTGAGCTCGTCAACCATTTGCTCCACATATTCTGTTAACCGCTGTTTGTCAAGCTTCAGTTGGTCTCTGTCTTCGACAACCTGAACATAATCTGAATACAGCTGGGTCAAACTGTGTCCACGTTTTAAAGCGCTAAGCGTAGCAGCCACAGATGGATTTAATTGGCGTAATTCTTCCTCGGATAGACCTAAAAATGTAATATTTACATAGCTTTAATAGCAATTGTGTACCGATTCAATAATTTAAAATTACGTAGTTACTCTGAGTACAAATTTTAGAGATGCAATCAGTGAATGAGAAACATAGTGTATATAACACTTGTTTATAATATTGTGATAAAGCTATTTACATATGTGGGATTATCTCGGACTATTTGCTCATCGTTAATGACTAATCACGTAATTAAACAGTAAAGTGGTTACTGCATCCCTGACGTTTACAACTTACAGATCTAAAACACATGTTATCCCCATCAACAGCCTCTCCACAAGAATTTCACACTACACTTCATACCACAGAATATTAACCATAACAGCTTTTAATCAATAACATGAAAAGAAACGTAAAACCTGATACAGTAAGGAATCATTTAAATTATTTCCTAGCAGGTAAAATACCATGCGCTCGAGATTTCATGACGTTGTGAATAACCATTTGGGATAAGATTTAATCACTAAAATCTCTGGTGAAATAGCAGGGACAGTAACATTGAAAGGTTGATATGTGCAGCTAGTGAATTTCAATCACATTTTGGACTCGACTTGTGGTCACCATCACACATAATATGCACAGACGCAAATAAAGTGTTTTAGAATAATTTTAGGCAATCTGCTACTTATCGCAAACCTACTTCTGCATAGGCAGTGACACTGACGAACAATACACTGTTTGTCTATTTAAAAAAAGTTGGTAATAATTGCTGAAAATATCCCGCAGTAATTTGTAGATGAAAATACCAAAACAATCCGACAACTTAAGATAAAATAAGAAGAAAAGAACTACACAAAGAGTGAAACGCTGAATCAAATACTCATCAAACAATAGACTTAAACATACTCTGTCTGTTATTTGAACGTAAAAAACAAGTGATCACATAGCATTCTAATAATACAAGACAAACTGAAGACAAGTGTAATATTGCAGTAACAGAGAAGCATACGATGGACATACAGACTGAATTTTATAGTCATAATCTCGCTAACCACGTCTTCTAAAGCTAATATTTTAGAACGTGGCGATTTGTGTTTTGCCACTCATCACAATTTTCATCGCCCACAGAAAATACAACATTCATATGGAGAAAGCTAGTTACTAATAATTATTTATTAAAATACCTTTGCTATCTCTAAGCACGCGCCATAGGGACACATGACGTTACCACCGGATGTCAAATACTACGGTAACAACCACACAGCACATCCACACGAGCAAACTTCCTCAATTGAAGAGCAGAGCTGTGTACTGCAGAGTTATAAACCTGATTTTTTGGCAAACTGACTAACATTACAAAGAAGTATGCTATCCTAAAATTTGACTTGCTGTTAGAATCCTCACCTGTCAAGCATAGCTATCTAGGTAGACGGACTTCTAGCGTACTCCTGATAACTTACCTAAGAGAGTCATTGTAAGTAGATTTCCACCAATCTCACAAAATCCCTTCGCACAGAGTAATGTACAGACAACAGAGACAAAAAAATCATTGGGATACAGCACTATGTTAAAATACTTAAATCTTTAATAATACTTGCAATAATAATAAATCTTACTACTATCAAACTTACCATCAACTCGGAACTTATCCAAAAGGTTCTGGCTTCGCTCTAGTTCAGAAGATAGATGCTCAGTGGTTGCTTGGAGTTTGGCGTTAACTTCATTGTATTGTGTTCTTAACGAAGACTTTTCGGCCTCTAACCTAGAAACATCTACAGCGAAATGAGAATTTACAGGCTTAACTTACTCTCATATGCATCCTTTAAAAGCCTCTGCATAGATGTTGCAGCATTACTTAGTTCTTCATTTTTTTCTTCTAAATCCTTTACTTGTTCCTTAATTTTAATCATACACTAATATGTGGCTCGTTACCTTGTACAGGCTTATAAGCTGTTTTTGTGCCTCAATCTCGTTGCCGTACAACTGCTCCATTTTAATTTGTTCATCAGTAACCTAGAAAAGTTTATATTTGAGTTTACCACCTACCAGTTTGAGCTTTACAACATATTCCTCATTTGACTGTGTCAGCTTACGAACATTTTCTTCTAACCTTTCAACGGATTGTTTAGAGTTTTCTAACTAAAACACTGTTACTGAAAATCTAAAACCTACTTCAGTATTACGAAGCCCAAGTTCAGATTCAAGGGAGTAGGACTTTTGGTACTACGACAAAAATTTTCAGATTAAATTATCACTTACTGAATCTCTACGAACAGTTAGGAGCTGGTCTGTTGTCTGACGCAGGCGTTCTTCCAACCAATCATTGTGCCGTTGAAGATTAGACAGCTCGTCTGACCAGCGTGACTCTTGAGCCTAAATTTACGTAAAAAGATGAATGCTACAACAAACTTTGACTGATGCTTCACGCCCAGAAATATCTTCAGACTTTAGCATGAGTTCCATTTTCAACTTGCGTACGTTCTCAGCTTCGGAACGCAATTCACTGATCTCAGAATTCAGAGATTCAATTAGTCCAAGTTTGCTTTTTATTTGATCACTTAGAATTTCCTTCTCGTTCTCCAAACTCCTGATGGCGAAATTGAGTTCATTATTCACGGAAATACAGTCATTCAGCTTCGAACGAAAGTCTTCCTTCTCCATATTAGCATTATTAAACTTTTCATTCATAGCATTTAGGGCATCATTGCACTCTTTCAACTTCGCTTCCAGCTTTTCAGATGACGACTTTAATTCAGACTGTTCACTTGCGTGCTGCATTAAGATCAACTCTACAACCCAATAAAAAAGCTAAATTATGATTACCTTGAGCTTTTTGAAAGCTCGCAAGTCCCTCTTTCGCCGCTTTAGCATCATGATAGATGTTATCAAAAGCTATATTAAGCTTTGTAATCAACTCAGGTTCAATTGTATTTATCTCTTCCCCACTGATACCACCATAGGTGCACAAACTCTCCACCTGCTCCATACTCCGACGAACTTGAAAGAAAGCGCTCAACTCAAGGTCGAAGCAAATGTCCAATAAGCATGCAACCAGCTGGTGTAAGCCAAATTGATTTCTCCGTACTCATATCCCGATGGTAAAGTAGATGTTCCTATTCATCGGTAAAGCTGTACATAGTACGCCCCACCAGTAGACTGCCTCATCCTTGTCAGTTCCGAGGGAAGTTATGAGAGAATTTGTTGCATATAGTTTGTAGTATGTGGTGTGTTAAGGCCATGTCACTGCTGTTTGTGGAATTGATCCTTTCCCCCGTTAGTCATCCTGTGTGGTGGAAAAAACGATGATAACAACAACAGTAATATATATTCATTGTAGTTTATATAGACTTAAGAAGATAACATACAAACAATGAAATTTAATTTACAAGAAAAGATAAAAATAAAACAAGTGAATGAATAGGTAGAGTGTTCAGAAGAGTCCCATGTACGGCGAATTCGAAGTGAAAAGAAGTTGGATTGCATGCGTTTCTTTGCTGTCTGACGAGCAATCTTCCATGGAATGTCACGAGGAAACCATTGATGACTTAATATCGGAATACCATAGTTCGGGTGATCCTGGTCATTTGTAATCTTATAGCTAAAAATCAGGTCATCACTATGCGGACAGAAGCTAAGTAAGTAACTGAGTAGCAGTGACACTGTGCACTTCAAGGTATGGTCATGCGTACATTTCATGGCCACAGAAAAGTCTAAGTAGTGAGCGCTTCTGTCTATGAATAAAGTTTGTAACTAAATATGTTCTCGCCACATCGATGGCACAATTAACGCTTCTAATCAGCTCTGCAGTTATGATGAGACCTAAGTCGAGCTTCACTGTTGTAAAAGACTTTCTACAGTCACACAGGGAATAACTTACATCATGAGGCATTTGGAAGGGTGATTGCACTACTTTGCATTTTAAAAATTGAAGGTTACACCAGTAAATTGGGCCCACTCTTCCAGAATTTTCACCTCTACCTGTAGCATACGTGCATCGTCTAAACACTATTGCTGTCCAAGTTTTTACTTAGTTGGAGTAAAACAGAGCTGGGTGGCTTAGACGGTATGACACGTAATTGGTAAAATTCGAAAACACCAGTGTTCCCGGGATAGGAGCCCGGGAATCTCCCAATGTCAAGCTGCTCCATGATTAATGGACACAAATGACCTTAGTGCAGAAGTTTCTCTTAACTAGGCAGTGCTCCAACCGGGACAAAAGCTGTCCGAAAATATCAGCCTGACTTATTTTTGGAGATCATGCTGTATGGTGGCAATCGCCTCTCCAGAAGGAGAAGGGGATAACATGGATCGATCACTTAAAGAAGTGATTAAATTGTAAGCTACTAACTAACACTTCACTCTTGAAATGAAACGGAAGCGTCGTTTAATCAGGAAATATTCATGAATTTACCTATATTAATCACTTTTTTCATTTAAATGAATATGTGAAACATGTTGTTCAACGAAAGACGGATGTTTCAGATAAAAATATTTCTTAAAATTCTATGGTGAATATAATAACTGGTGTGGAACATTTGACTTCGAATCTAAGTAATGCGAAACATCAGTCTTTGATTCTAGTACTGGCAGCCACTAACCAACAAACATGAAGTTAACTTGGTTGAAATGAGTTAATACACTCAAACAAGGAAAACGTTAATATATGGATTATAAGAAAGTGATGTACACTACATAAACCAGGCCTTTCGCTTTATTTGCAGAACACCCTACATGGCTCTGTGTAGCCATGAGGACTGCTTTCCAGGTTGTAGTGTGAATAGAGAGACAATATCTGAGATTGTGTGTGGATCATCCCTTTATCCAGCTTCTGGTGCCCCTCCACTAATAGCTCAGCCCAGTGTGTGAGGCATTCTGCGTCAGAACGAAATCTCATTCTAGGGCAATTGACCTTGCTACTATGGGGTCGTAAGGTACCCCACTGTAAGCTCTCTCAGAGAGCCAGATCAGACACCACAACCGCAAAGTCACTGATCATTTTAGCAAGCAACTGCTCACTGGATAATAAATACTCTAGTTTTGATGACTTTTCCCTATGGGCCTTTCTAGTGTCGTCTCCAGCTTCCTCAGTCATTCCGGAATTTCTGTTGTTTTGCGACATATTTCTGCCGAATTCTCCCTAAGCAGAGCTCCAACCTACCTTATAGAGTGGAGCAAATGCGCCTCCAACTGTGCTGATTTGGTCCTAACCCAAGTTCCGAATGCCTGTGATTGTGCTGAGCAGTAGCTGGCTGTGTGTTAGATAGATGCCGCCCAATAAATCCTTGGCGTGGCCCATAATGAAATGGCACTATTCCAATTCTTGGAGTTCAGTGAGTTGTGGGTTCATCCTCTTACAAATTTAAGCTGCTTGTTAAACATATGGAAACTCCACCCCCTAAGCTGTGATTCTGATATCTGCTTAACAGATCATATTGACTTCCTGGCCGACAACAACAGAGGTAAGCCTGTCTTCTGCCGATCGAATCATTTTGAGGTCAGTGTGCATTAGTAGGCTTCTGAGCTATACTTCGCTCCAACGTCTCCCTTGCTTTTCGGTTAGTTTGTAGGATATCAACTCAATTCGTCGAATCAGTGTAGCCTTCAAGTGTTGTATCCACCTTTCAATATTTGGTGCAGAGTTAAGAATAGCTTGGCCAACAGTTTAGTTGGGTCAGGCCGAAAAAACAGCAGAGAGTGGAGGCCGAGCTCAGGTATAGTAGAATAGATGGCCATACAGCAAGAGTAGGCCTAATTTCTACTTGAGGCCGGACGAAAGATGGCTCGAAGTCGTCCAAGCAGCCTAGGTTACTGGCTTCCTAGACACTTTGTTAGGGGCAGTTGATTGTCATATCACCTTTCATTGTTGAGTATGAATAAATAACGACAAGAGGAATAGCACTGAAATGTTACCCGACAGAACAAGATCAAGTTGACTGGTAAAGTATACGAAAATGTTTAACTTTATTCCTAAATCCGAGGTTATTCGGCCTCACAACAATTTAGTAGCAGACCGACGAATATTGCTTGTTTGAGTGAACAGGGAAGATCCTGGAACGAAAGCAGCATCTTAAGCTGTGACAGTAGTTTCAGATAGTTGGGTTTACCACACTCCAACTCGACACCGATCAGTGGTTGTTACATGCTCTAAGCGGATAGTTTAAAAAGTAAGCTCTTTCCTGTTAGAGAGGTAGGCATATGAAGGAGCCCTAAGTATCTCATAAAACTTATCGTTCGTCACTGAATTTATCAAGTGCTTGTGTTCGTTATATATAAGAACCTTGACTACGTTGCGGAGGAGTGATTCCAGTAATTTTTAGTTTTAACACTGCTGAGAATAATGTCTTCCCGGCATAAATAAATCCTTGCAATCTTACATATAGTCAAGCCGCAATCTTACCTCAGGCAAATTAGAGAGTATTCAAAACGGTATGCCCTGGTAAATCTTTCCAGTGGTCTGCAATTCATCTTGGAAGACAAACTTGCAGAAGTAGAGGATATGACTGCTGTTTTTAACTCTAAGGCTATTTCTTCGCTCGTGTCAGTTCACGAGTTGAAAAGTTGTAAGAACAAACTGACATTAAATCAATCCTTAAAATGCATAGTGTTCACGTGAGGCCCACTTTATAGCACTTGACTTAGCAATGAAAATGATTCAAGTCGTCAAAGAGAAGAAGACCCCCTGGACAAATGCAGTCTACACTCTTTCAACTTCCTAACATGCTTGCTTAGTATTCTGAGCATGAGACTGCTTCCCGGATCCCGTATTATCAATGAGATACAATAAAGTCTGAATGTCTTCCTTTAAATCTTTAAAACTTATAAAACCCTATTGAGCCTCTGCTCTACAACCACTGCTGCGTCATCAGCCTAGGCAGACGGTGTCAGACTAAAAGTATAGACTCAGAAACCAGAAGTATTCTAGGTGGCAGTGTGTGTAATTACACCCTTGGTTAAACTAAGATCTCAAGACTATTCCACCTGCGGGTCCAGACTCTGTAGCAAAATAAACCACTAGCTGTTATTGTGTCATGTCCTTTGGCACTTATTCATCATCAAAGATTAAACAAGATGATTTAATTACAAATGAAATGAAAAGAAACTACAATGGCACCTTCACAGTGTCATGCTTGATAAACCCAACCTTCTAAACCTCTGCCTAGTCCACTGGGTTGGTTTCACGTTCCAGATAATCCTGTTTCCGATGGCAGGTCCGGTGGGAACTAGAACGTGGTCAGTGCAAACAAGTGGTTGTCAAACTTCTATACCATCTATGAGCAAATGATCACAGGTTAGATGATGACCGCCACTAGATGGTTTCCCCCATCTGAATCACAGCCTATGTAATCTCTGAAGAGATTTATTTGATAAACAAATTCTCCACATTTCTTTGAAAATTCGAAACTAGTTTACCTCCAGTATCGAGCAAGAACTGTTGATGATCGTGGTCACTCTTCCTGGAGAAACGATATATTCGTTTGGGAGCTGAGTACTCCCTTAGATTGTTCCTTCCCAGCCTGGTGGCCAAACTGTCTCTTAGACTGATCAACCAATGAGGAATGCACATTAAACGAAAGCCTGCTTCGTGATGGAACAAGGCTAGTGCAATCATGTGAGATTAGGGGAATGAACACCTTCAGTCTAATGTGACCACTGCTTCACTTTATCTGTGAAAATTTTCATTCCTCTTTCTACGGACAGAGGGAAACATATTTTTAGTACGACGGATTAGTCGAACCTTCGCCACTTACACGAATTTCATGACCACTGTGTTGTCTCTATGAATAAGCTGCTTCACGTATTAATGCTGTAGTTTTCCTGTGATACTTGGATTTACTAGCTTGTGGACTCGTAGGTAACACTGTGTCCTCATCTTAGAAATATATACCACGACCATTTAGTGCTTTTGCTAAATGTTACTTTGAGTACACTTTGTTCGTTGGTTTTCAGGGATGGGTTCAAGGTTATTAAAGAAGACTTTAGAGGTTAGCGCGGGGAGATTATAGTGACATCGGATCCTCATTTC